TTGCTTACCGGCATGGGACCGGTGGGGGGGAGGGGGGCGGCGTGTATTTTCAGGGCTTGCTCGTCTCCCTGCCAGCGGTGGTTGCAGAGCCGGCTGTGTTGGCGGCGGTTGCTTCTTTTCCTCCACTTCGGCTCCCTTTGGGAGGCGCGATGCCCCGCCGGCCGGACCCTCAGCAAAAAGCCCACGGCCCCGAAACCATCGGGAGGAAAGGAGACAAGTCGTCGGAGTGCGCGGCGGGAGAGTTTTGCGCCGAGAGGCTGGGTTCCGAGACCTAAACAGCGAATTATCCCGCCAGGAGGAGGAGGAGGAGAGAGAAAGGAAGCGCAAGCCAACCAGCTCCGAATCATCCGGATCAGATCTGCGGACGCCTTGCTTCGAATTCCCTCCTTTCCCTGCATTTCTCAGAAACTCTGAAGTTGAGATTTTATGAGGGGGATGAGCAAGCCACTGAGATCCATTTACTTGGCTTTTCCAGTGAGTTTGCAAGATTGGGGTGAGAAGGGGCGCTTCTTCTCTTCCTCCTGCCTGCCTCGCTGGGCTTTGATGTGGAGTCCAGGTATTCCCATTTCATTTGGGTTAGTTGCAGATCTTATTGCCTTTATCATCAAACCCTTCAGAGGCTTAAGAGTGCCTGGAAGCCCTAAGGAAATAAGAACTGGGGGATTTTAAAAATGTAGGTTGCGCTCCATACATCAGGGCTGCCGGCGGTCGTTTTCTAGCAAACGGACCTCCTGTGCCTTTAACACCTGCCTGATCTGGGTTGGTAGGAGAGGTGGAATGAAAAAGTTTCACCACCTATCAAGTAGCTGTTAAAGCCAAAGAGCTTGGCAAAAGAAAAAAGAAAAAAAAAACCTCAGTGACCTCAGTGGAATTAATAGGCGGATGTAAATCGTCTGACCCACAAAGCGAAAGGCATAAATTCAGTGCACCGAAGTGAACGGTGCCTCTTCCGGAAAGACTTGCTATTAAGAGAACTTAGCTCTCGAAACCTCTGGAGGTTGCCACTCCTGGTCTTAAGATCAAATCAAATCTTGCCAACAGGAAGTAATTCCTGATGAAAGCTGCTTGTTTGCTTTTTTTAAAAAAAGTGACCAAACAATTACAAGCCCCAAATTTTTGAGTTGTGCCTCTTGAGTGGTTTTGTTAGTGTAATTTTATATTGAAAGTCCAAAACAGTCTTGGGTAAGCAAGGACTACTTGCACGTTGGGGGATCCTGGCCTGTACCACGACTAAACGACTAAACACACACTTGCACGTTGGGGGATCCTGGCCTGTATTCTGTACAATGATTTAGAGGGATTGTAAAACGAGCTTGTATGTCTCTACTCAGCTTGCTCACACGGGGAAGCAAACTCCATTGATCCCAGTGTAACTTACTTAAAGAAGGAAGGCTTGGAATTGATTACACCAACTTAACTGGGACAAACAGTTTCTTGCAAACAAAACACCGCACCACACTTTTTGTTCAGGCTACAGGTTCCCTCTATAATATGATACAGTGTAAGTGGAACAAAACTCTTGCAGTATGGCCCTCCAGGTGGTGATGGACTCCAGTTGCCATCAGTCCTTGCTAGAATGACCAGTGGTAAGGGGTGATGGGAGACGTAGTCCATTAGCATTTGGAGCCCCTCCCCAGTCTTGCTTTGGATAGCATTGTTGGGAAGTGGGCAGACTGACCCTTGAGGTGCTCCTAGCTCTCCAGCAAAAGACCAGATGGATTGCCATTGTTTCCCTGGAGGAAATCCTTGTCTTGGAGCCTGATCCGCTGCTCAAGCGTGTCTGGCCCCACTAAGACTTTGGTACTAGTTGATGTACGTATAGTTAGACTAATGTTCCAAGGTAGAACGAGGGAATCGATGGTCCTCCGAGTGTTGTTGGATTACAGTGCCCATCATGCTTGACCACTGGCTGCAACCAGCTGTGACTGGAGAGTTGATCTTGTGGAACCACCATCTTGCATCTAAGCAGAAGCAGGGCATAGGGGCCAGTTTTCTGCCTCCTGAAGCCTGGCCATGACTGTCTAAAACACAAATATGAAACTGGGAGTTGCTAGATTTCAGGGGGTGTTGTTGAACAGTTGCAAAGGGAGCTTGTGACCTTTTGAAAAGTTGTCACTCCTGGAGGATTCTAGCAATTCCAGTCCACTTTTTTTATTGCTGTTGTTGGAAAACAGAGAGAAAGCTAGAGGAAAGGAGGATGAGGTGCCGCACAAACATGTGGCCTCAAGGCCATGCTTCGTCCAGTTTGATTTGAGTGAAATAAGATCAGTCAGAATATCTGTGCATGCTTATAGGTGGGCATAATCTGAAATGCTTTAAATCCTCATCTTTTGGACATGTTTTGAGTTTGCAGTCAAAAATAATATTTTCTGTCTTAATAAAGAAAAGATCCTGTGTGTCTTGCATCTCTTAAGTGTTGTGATTTGGGATGATCCTAGCTACAAAGTTTTCTAACTTGCCAGGCTAACTATACAAAGATGAGCGTATATGTCATCAAAACCTGTTTATTAAGAGTCGAAGAAGCATCTTTCTTTATCAGACAAGCAGACCATCTGTTTCAGTATCCTCTTCTAATCAACAGTTGGAGCCCTTCCTTGAGGACAAACTGACAAGCAGAGAATAAAAACCTACGATCCCGTAAAAATGTTAGGCTGCTTTTTTACTACCACAAGCCTACACTCAATATGACTGCTGGTGCTATTTCTGCAATTCATCTAAGTCTGTCAGGCATTTATTCTGGGAATTGTAGCCCCAGTGTTAATGTTCTCAAGTTTTGGTGAAAGCCAATAACATCCCTCTTGTTCCTCATTCATGCTAAAATTGTATGTTGAAAATGGGTTCCTACTGTAAATGCAATGATATTGGTATGTCAGATTGTTCCTTTTTAATGCTGGTTGCCAATCCCCTTTTTGTTCTTAAATCAAAATCTGAGAAGGAGTGACTTTTTCCACGCTAGACAATAGGAAAAATGTCTTCTGCAGTTCATGTAAAAGGTTGTCTGCGGCTATCACTGCTGTTATTATTATTGAAATCCTGCCTCTTGATCCTCATCCTCCACTAGGATACAAATACTTGCACTGTGGGAGTTTGGGAGTATTTTCTCGCTGAATTTTGAAGTACTGACGGGTTGTTTTCAGGTTGTGGGTCATGTTAGAAGTATCTAATGTTCCCTTCTTGCATTTCCACAGTGCAGGGAGAATGCCATGGCCCCCTTCCACGGGGGCTCAAAACCAGAATATGTCATGGTGTCTCAATGCTTAATACTGGATGGCGGGGGGGGGGAGAGGAAGCACCCCAATGGTAGAACATAGTAGGTTGGGTGGTTGGCCCATCCAACTTTTTCCTCTGTGAAAAGAAAATCTGTACATGGCCAGTAGTTGAAAGTATGGGACCTGGCCTTCTAAAAAGTTGTATACCATGTCCTAAAATGCATGCCTACCTATTTATGGGTCTAAATTAGACATGGGATACCCTATGCCTAGTCTAGATCATGTGTGAATTATGTACTAAAACATATTTCTGGGGGATTAGGATGTCCTTATGGTGGTGCATGAAGGCTAAGTATTCCTGTTCTTTGCCTTCCTTCAGATCCTTTCTCCCAGCCTTGTAGGCTGTTCAAAGCTTTCTGTTCTTGCATGCCTCCATCTTGGCTACATCTTCCAGTTTGTAAGACTGAGCTGCTGAGGCCTTTCTGTCTTCTAGACCAAGAAGGAAGTGGTGGGCAAATCGATAAGACCTTTCCAGAATTTTCTCTTCTCCCCCCCCCCCCACCATCCCCAGGAACCCAGGTAAGGTTAGGATCCTGCAAAAAGAAAGAGTAGTTTGGCTTTCTGGTATGTTTTCTGAGACAACCACCTGAAGCAGAAAGATTTCTGCATCCCTTTGATTTGACCCAGAAATAGTATTTGCTTTGATTTCTACACCTCACTCCATTTCAAGGACACACGCTATGAAAGAGTAATTATTTAATAATAAACGTGAGCTTGTCTGATGTCCATTTTTTTTACCAAAAAAATCTCCGATTCTTCTTGCTGAATTACTAAGAAACTGAAATCACCTCTTTGCCTTTTGTGCTTAAGGTGGCCAATTATACCCAACTAAAAAGGACACAGATAAGGAATCAGTTTTAAAAGATGTGTGTACGCATTGATTAATTACTTCCTATAAGGCAAAAAAAAAATGGGTCTCTGATTGATCAGTGACCCTATGATGAATCAAAAGAAGAAGACAGACCCACATATGCACCCTTCCAGATGGAGACGTGGCAAAACTTGAACTTGTGGCATTGGTGCCTGATTAAATGAATCATAAGGCAGTCCTAAAATGAACTGGGGCTAGCATAGAAGAGGACTTGGTCTCATCAGGTAGCGAATGGAGGAGATGGAAAGAAAGTCATAGTTCCGCTTTACATGGCTGATGGGGCAGCTGGGGCCCAAAGCCTCTTGCATAGCTATGCAGATAGCACGAGTTTAGGAGGCAAAGTGCCCCAGGCTGAAAAATCACCACAGGCATTTATCAGTGGTATGCTGACTTACACAATGCAGGATGCAACAGGTGATTTCTGAATTTGGGGCGATTGGCATCTAACAGTTGCCCCCATTTGTGTTGCACCAGTGTACAGTAAAAGGATTTGGGCCTTGCCTTCCTACTTTCCAGCAGACCATTTCATTGGGAAAGCTTGCCTTAAACTTCTCAAGTGTAAGGCCAAAGAGCCTGCATGGTTGGTTTAGGACGTGGAAGATAAAGGTCCAAGTCCCCTCCCCCCTCCCCAAGTAGTACAACTGCCTGGGGAGAACCCTTAGCTGGCCATTCTTTCTTTCCCGTTCTATTTCATAAGGCTGTTGTGAGGATGTGAGAGGAGGGAGAGACACGCAGCTCATTATCATCAAATAAAGAATCACAGGAAGAAAGGAAGCAGAAACCTTGAAGATGCCCACCTGGAAAGCAGATGTAAAAATTATAGGGACCACTTGCTCACAGGTTTCTTCATCAGGCTTTATATTTCTTTTTAAAGTAATTGTTTCTAAATTTGGATCTGTAAATTTACATTAAAAAAATAAATGCAATGCAAATGCAAGCTCTTTCTTCTATCCTCTGATTTTTGCATGATGCATAAGTGGTCACCCTAAAAGCTGGAGAACCCTGACTCAACTCCGTTCACTTCCCCCTCTTCATCTCCATATCTGGCAGACATGGAAGAAGTTCTGCTGGATCAAACCAACAGGCCAGCCAGCCAGCTAGATGCTTCCAGGAAGCCTACAGTCACCACCTGTTGTGGGGTACATCTCAGCGGCTGATTGCTGGAGACACCTCCTGATGGATGGCTGCATTCGCAAGACGTTGCCCAAAGTACTTCTGCGGTCTGTTAGGAAACTGTATTTCCTTGTCTTTCTTTGCTTTATCAGATTAAAACCTACTAAGATTCCTTACCTTTAGTCTGTCCAGCAGGAGAAGTATCGGCAGAATTCCTCTGGTACAGCTGAGGAACATATATTTTGCATTTCTGTGGAAACTGTGCCCCTTAGTTGCCATTGTCTAGGGCATCTGTCTAGTGTCCAGTTCATCTGCTTTGATTGCACAGCTGTCCTGCCTGTACACATCTAGGTCAGGGGTATTTGGGGTTTTGGGGAAGGGGTCCAAAAGGACAGGAGGCTCGGAGGCCTCCTGACTCTGGTCTAGGTCATTGGCAGGAAACCTCTTAACTGTCCAGATGTTATTAGACAATATCCTTCATTTCTGACCGTTGGCCATATTGGTTGGTGCTGAGGGAAGCTGGGTTCCCTCACTATCTGGAACACCCCTGTTTGCTTTCCACTGGAGAAACTAATGTCGAGGGGAAAGGGCAGGAAGGCACATTCACACAAGGGCCTGATAGTAGTTGATGGCTCTTGATGTTTCCTGTCATTGGGGGCTGTGCAGGTTTTGAGGAGATGTTGAATCTGTGGTTCTACCTGTGAGCACCTGTTTCTCCCTTTCTGTTTGGCCTTGTAGCTTGTACTGTTGCCCCTGCTGCCGCCCCCTCCCCAATACACGGAGTCTCTCTGCAATGAAGAACCAAGCAACAGGTGTAAATCCAAGGGAAGCAACTTCAGTGTCATCTGAGGAAAACAAAAGGTGTCCCTGTTCTCTGCTTGATCTTCCATACTATTTCTTCCAGCACACCTCACTGCACCTGACATGAGGTTTTTAGCTATTGCCTATAAGAACTCTTTATGGCTCTGTGGTTGCTCACTAGGGGGTGGCTATTCAAAGGCAGGATGGTGCAGTGGTTAGAGTGTCAGAATGAGGCTTGGGCAAGTCAAGTTCAGGTCCTCGCTAAGCAAAGAAACTCACTAGGTTACCTGGGACCAGCCACTGGCTGAAATCCTGTTGTGCAGCTCCGCACCCAGAACAGCAGTAACATCAACAGCAGCAACCAACAGCAGCAACTGATTAAAAGCTTCCTTTGGGAATTTCAGGGTATGTTGTGTTCAAGTTGCATGCACTCCAAAATGACCTTTAATCAATGGTGATGTGCCGCTGGTGAGGACATCATCCCCACTGGGCATCGGGAGCTGTGCAACAGGATTGCGGCCCCTGTTTCTGAGAGTCAGACCTGCCTCACAAGGCTGGGGTGAAGGGAAAGCCATGTGCTTGAATGTATTGGTGGAAAGGTGGGATATAAATCTGATAGGTCTGTAGATTAATAAATGCTATGATCCAAACAAGCAAGGTGTAATTACAATTTGCCTGTGTAACCTCTTCTTTCCCCCTCTCATTAGGAAAAATGAACATGTCTGGGTGGTGGAGCTTTGGCTCTTGTATACCTTCTGGCAGCTTCAGAACTGATGTTTGAAACCAGAGGTGTAGACCTGGGCCCACCTTTCTGAGTCTGCGGTTGTATACTGATGCTGTCTTTGGTGCTTTGCACCCTTTTGCCCCAACATGATCCATCCACAGATAACCAAGCTTTCATCCTGGCAGGCAGTCCTTGTGCTGCCAAGTGGCAGCTTCGTGTATGACGACTTCTTCTGAGGCATTCTAGTGTGCAGCTGGCTGTGAAGTCATTCAGTTTCCATTGCTTTTTGTCACAAGTGGTGGAAAAGATACACAGCTAATATGTCAAAGGTTCCAGACTCAATTCCTGGCATCAAGAGCCTAAACTGGGAAAGTCTTAATATTTTGGACAGCCAGACGACACTGTTTTAGCAACACAGGTGGCTTGTCTTTGTAGAAGATAGCTTTCTTTGTTCCTTTCACATCTTATGTGGAGGGATTTCCTGCATTAGTGCATGCTTTTATATTATGTACGTTTTCCTCTTTCGCCTGTGTATAGACAGACCCCATCCATACTACGCTTGGGTGTATCATTTATGAATTGTGTATTATTTGGACACCATCTTGTTCAATATTTACATGTGTGGAATTCCAACTGTGAAGTTGCCTTGGCAACCTAAGAAGGTGCCAATCAGTCTTGGCAGGGCGCCTGGTCACCCAACCCATCAGATCTCCATGATAGCTTCCACCATTGGAGTACCATGTGTGCAAATATTGAATGGGGAACTGGCTGTTACATGATTTGGTATTTTAGTCTTGAATTGGAAGTCCATTGGTATAATATTAATTAATAATTATGTGTTATCAAGTCAATTCTAACTTAACAGTGACTCTTCTGGGTTTTTGGGGGTTTTAAAAACATTTTTTAGGAATAAAATATTTAGAAATAGTTTACCAAGTCACTCCTTCTGATGGTATCCTGAGACTGTAGAGTTTGCTCGAGGCTGCACAAATGGCAAGGCATTTCCTTCATTCATTCATTCATTCATTCATTCATTCATTCATTCATTCATTCATTCACCTTTCTCCCCATAGGGGACCCCAGGGAGCTCACAATTACTAAAATTATATAAAAAAGCAGTTTTGAGAATATTATATAAATATATTAGAAACAATTAAAGATATATTAAAATTAAAAACCAAGATTAGAATGTTTATGTATGCTTATTTCTATCCTGCATGTCTTCCAAGGAATTCAAAGTACTGCCCACGCTTCTCCTTTCTGCTTTATCCTACAGACATGCTGTGAGAGAGGTTCAGCTGCATGATAAGGACTGCTCCAAATTTTCATGACGGGGTAAGGATTTGAATCTGGTTCTCCCAAGTTTTATCAGATAGTTTCTTTCATATTCTTATCTTTTTGATACTCTATTTAATATGCATGATTTTTTCTTGGATTAATGAAACTGTTTGGGGCTTCCCTATGAGGGAAAGAATAGGGTCTGTATAAATAGGGTTATAGTTGCGAAGAGAGGCTAAGCATGGAAATGGATGAAAGGACGGGCTGTGGAACCTTTTTTCCTTTTCCAGTGTTGAATAACAATTGCCGTTCTCCTCAGCTATTGGCCACGGGACTGATGAGGTAGAGTCTAACAATGTTTGGAAGGCCAGAGGCTTTCTGTCTCAGATGTTAAGAACTCTTTTCACCGCTGATCCTGCTAAATTACTCTATTATTCTCACCTTCACCACCACACATTTTGCTATCTTAGACTTGATGGACTTCTACAGACTGTAATAGCTAGAGAAGTTCCGACACACACATTATCTCCCTAGCGGTCATGATGTGGGTTACCAGTCCACACATAAACATCAAATAATCTTTTGACATGTTAAGATCTGAATGCAGTTGAGAGCCCCATTCGGAGTAAACCCATTGAAGGAGTGGGATTTATGTCAGTGTTGACTCACCAGCTGGCAATTGATTCAGTGGGTCTGTCCTACAATGCACCTATTAATTGGATGTAGGCCTAAGAAGTATAAATTAACATAATTTCATTTCATGAAAAGTCCGCTTCACTAGAGGCATTCGTTTGCACTTGCTCACTCAGTGTGGGGGGAAATGTGTCTAAATCATTTCTTTAGGAAATCCCACTGTCAGAAATTCTGGCAGCCATTTTTCAAATTCTAAGGGTTTACACATCAAATTCTGGGATCTGGGCCAAAGGCCATAAATCTGGTCAGGCAATTTCTTTTAAGTCAACTGGGCAACTCTCGTTTGGTGAAAGGCTGCTTAGCCACCTGTCCTTCCAAAGGTCTCTCGTCTGCTCACAATGACGTAGCCCTAAGCTGCTCTCTGCGTGTGCAAATACTGCCTGGGTGGTTCATGGCAGAAACATAAAAGAACAAAGTAGACTGGAATAATACAGTGCAACTTTATAAAAAAAACCCACTTCTAATATTTTATTCTGGTATTACCACTGCCTCAGACCCCTGAGATACATTGCTCAAGTAGAAAATTACTGGACCAGGTGGATGAATAAACTGACCTGTTATAATGCAGCATCCTATTTACTAGGATCAGTAATACTACTCTTTTATTTTATGAAGACAGTCCTTCTAAGGGAATGTATATTCAGAGACATAGTCTTTGCCAGGCAGGTTTTGTTTTCCTTCCTTCTCCTTCCCTGCAGGCATGCGTCTGTTTCCTGCCTTTTCCCTGTTTGAGAACTGACTGCATAGGTGGAGTTTGCTAGAACTGCTTAAGGCCATTATTTGTACTACAGGCTTATTGTCTGCATTCTGTGTGTGGGTTTACCTATGGCGCTGTTGCTGAAAGGCTATTTTACAGGCTGGCCTACCTCCATAGCCATCTGACTATGCATGTGGTCTGAATAGGGAGTGGGGAGAATGCAGAATCGTCTTTTGTAATATTGACTGCTCTCCTTTCCTTTCAAAGTATGTTCTTCGTTCTTTATAATAAGATTTAGGATTGTTTTACTTTCATACTATTTGGGTGGTTGCACGTTTATGACATGGAGATACCAAAAGAAGTCCATTTAGTTGGGAAGCCTCTAGATTAGGCTTTCCTAACCTTGTGCCCTCCAGATCTTTCGATGGCAGTTTCCATCAGCTCCACCAGAATGAACAAGAGTGACTAGAGTTCTTACCTAAAACATTTGAAGGACCAAAATTTCAGGAAAGATTCAGTTAGATTTTTTTTTCCACAAAAAAATCCCTATTTTTATTTTCCTTTCTCTTGACAAGGTCAACCTCAGAGAGAGTTTGTTGCTGTCAAAAGGGAAAGAAAAAAGGGCAGTGTTGGTGAACATCTAAATCAAAGATGGGCAACTCCTGTCATTCTTCAGCATTGTCTGTGTTGTTTAGGGTGGATAGCAGTTGTAGTTCAATGCGTTTTGGAAAGTCATACTCCTGATCCGCTTGGCTTCTATGGGGTATTATGCAGTTTGTCCCTAACAATGCAATCCACAACAGGATCAGGTAAGGAGAGCTGACTGCACTTGGGCACAAGAGCACCTCTCTTACCTAAACTAGAAATGTGGTACTTGTGCTCCTTCTTCTGCCCTCTTCCATGCCTCTTTCCTCCAGGTTGCACCTTGTTAATTTAAGAAAACTAAAGGGGAACTGAATGTGTAACAACCACAAGCACATTGAGCTGAAGTCTGGGTAGCCGGAGTGGCCTGCCCAAGGCTTTGCTGGAGCACCAACAGGCTTATCCTCCCAAAGAATTGCTTATTCAAACAACAGGAAATGAGCAGGATTGTTCTCTGCAGGTTCAGCCAGATGCCTGTCTTGGCCTGTTGCTCCCGTTCTGCTCTGTCTCTACTTGCATAACTGCTTAGGCAAAAATAGGCCTCGACTGTCAACAGCAAGTCATCTGTTGCCAAGGGAAGACTTTGGAAGAGGGAAAGCTGAGTGAAATCAGAACAGTGGTGTTTTGATTACGGGCTCACTTTCTTGTGTAAAAGACAGGGCTGGTCTGAGAGGGTGACAAATTTCTTCCCACTGATGCTGGAAGACTGAACTTGTCTTCCAGTCAGAAGATGCCGATATACACCCATCTCTTCCAAGTCGACACTCTTTAGATGTGTTAGATTACAATGTCAGTTGTGCCCCACATCTGTCAATGACTGTTAGGTTGGGATGATAGGCGTTGTGTTCTCACACACCTAGAGGCACCTAGCTTGGGAAACGGTGGTTGAGGGGAAGTCTACACTCTATACAGCAATTAAATAATCAATATAATCTTAAGAAACATGTTAGCAGGGTTAAAATTTATAATGGCTTTGAAGCCCATTGAGGAAAATCCACGGAGATAATGAGGTGATATAAAAGCATATGGGATACACATTCAGAGGAGGGCAACAAGGAGGAGGAGGAGGATGGAAACCACATCTTATGAGGAAAAGACTGAAAGAACTGGGCATGTTTAGCTTTGAGAAACAAAGACTGAGGGGACAGATGATAACACTTTTTAAATACTGGAAAGCCTGTCATACAGAGGATTGGCAGGATCTCTTCTGGATCATCCCAGAGTGCAGGGCATGCAATAATGGGCTCAAGTTAAAGGAAGCCAGATTTTGGTTGAATTTCAGGAAAAACGTCCTAATTGTTAGAGCAGTGGAACCAATTACCTCAAGAAGTAGTGAGCATCCAACACTGGAGGCATTCAAGATAAAGCTAGACAGCTGTCTGTCAGATATACATTAATCTGGATTCCTGCATTGAGCAGGTGGTGGTTGAACTCTGTGGCCTTACCAGCCTTTTCCAACTCTGATATTTTATAATTCTATTAAATTTTGTACTGTGTAGATGGAAAAATGAGAATCCTGCCTGGAAGTGGAGAAAGTAAGTAAAGATTCTGTGTCTGTTCATTAATGGCATGCTAGATTTAATTGCTGTTATATAATAAAATACATGTGAAATGATTTTGTCTTTTTTTTGTCTCCGTGTTGCTAGGAGTCAAAGGGAGGTCTTGGCTTCTCAACATCTGGGACTGGGAAGACATGTGTTCATCCACAGAATGCCTGAGAGCAAGAATAGTTCTACAGTGGGAACCCATAATCCATCCACTCATTTCTCTCTCCAGGGCCTGCACCAATATTAATAATAATTATGTGGTCAAGTAAATTCCATGTATGGTGATCCTTTGTAGGATTTTTTAAGGTATAACGTGTAGTTAGAAGCGACCTGCTGTTCTTAGCAGGTCCTGCACATGTGAACACTTGAGCACACAGAGTAGCACTGCAGAAGCAAAAACACGGGTCTTGGCTATTCCCCCCATAGCGCTACAAGCACTCTCCGGGCGGTTTACAATTTTAATTATGCAGGCTACACATTGCCCCCCCAGCAAGCTGGGTACTCATTTTACCGACCTCGGAAGGATAGAAGGCTGAGTCAACCTTGAGCCGGCTACCTGGGATTTGAACCCTAGGTCGTGAGCACAGTTTTAGCTGCAATACAGCGTTTTAACCACTGCGCCATGATAAAAACCACTTTAGTGTATGTGCTGAGAATATAGTATAACAAAATTACCTGCTTACCTTCTTTCTCTTTCCCTCCCTTCTTTTTTTTTTTTAACAAAAACATCCTATCCAGTCTTCTGATGAAAAGCACACTCTCTTCTTCTAATATGGGCAGTTTTAATTAGCACCCCCTCCTTGTTAAAATTGTATGTGCAGCTGTGTTTCCATGTGCGTAATTTTATTATGCATCTTTTTTTTAGGCATTGTTTTTTTTTTACTGGGCATACTTTGCCATAATTATTCCCGTAACCCTTATCCTGCTTATGGTGCTATTTCTGCAGCAGGGAGGATCGGTGAAACAGACTGCTTGCACCCACTCTCCTGACGGCACAAGTCAAAGTCAAAGCCACATTGATCGGAGATCAAGTGAGTGAAGGACTACCCCTCACTTGAGCACCGCTAGCCATACTGGGGGCAGTGTGTTAGCAGGGCAAGTATTCAGCCCATACAGGATACAAGGGCTAAAGTTTCTTGCAGAAAACAGTGTCTGTGCAGTAATTCAGAGTATGAGGCAGGCAATCCTTCCATTCTGCTCTCAGCTGGGCCACACAACCCTTGTACCCTTTCGGCATGCCCATACCTGAGACGGCCACAAAACCTTTACATTCCCTGTATAATGTTGTTGTGTCGATTTTATCAGGTTATGCAAATCACCCCAAATGCTGGCCCTGTGCAAATCTCTTCATGGCTTCTACAAGATCCCCCATTTAAAGCAAGGTTTTCAGCTGGCATGCTAAATAATAGTACCTCATTTGAAATCCTGTGAGGATTTTCCTAGCAGTCAGTGGCTTAAATAACTGACTGAAGATCCACAGGTTGGGAGTTTGATTCCCCACTATGCCTCCTGGAAGAAGAGCCAGCCTGCATGGCCTTGGGGGCAAGCTGCACAATCCAGAGGCACCCCCACCCCCCAAGAAGGGAATGGGAAACCACCTTTGAGGACTCTGTACCTGGAAAACCCTGAAGAGGGTCACCATAAGTAAGAATTAATTTGATGGCCCATGATGATGATGATGATGATGATGATGATGATGATGATGATTGTGATTGTGATTGTGGTTGTTATTGTTGTTAAAGTTCACTGAAGAAAACGGGACTTACTTCTGAGCAGATATATCTAGCATCGCCTTGTGAGTACACAAACCTTTGAGCATTCAAACTTTAGGCAACGGCAGGGGCAGGGGTAGGGACATGCGGTCTTCCCAATGAAGATTTTATTCCCCCCCCCATTTTTGGACCATTGTGCAAATTATTACTAGAATATATTACAGTTTGCACAATTAAATGGAGATTAAATATAGGGCTGCAGCCTGAAGCATGCTTATGTGTAAATTAACATCGCTAAAATAATCAGCAGGACACATTTCAGAGAAGATACGTTTCTGATGAGAATGTTAATGCAAACCAAATAGTTTTAAAGAAATCAGATGTGGGACACAAATGCATTCATAGCCTTGAATTCACTTCATCCCGTCGGTCCTGGGCCTCCCACCACCATACAAGCCCTCCATGATCCAAGTGAAGGAGGGGAACTCACAGGAGAGACCCTTCTGCTCAGACCACACATTCTGCCTACACCCAATATTTCTGTTTCTGGCGTTGTCCCTGTAAAAGTGTCCAAAGACGGCTTTGTACAATACTAACCTTGTGGGGCTGGGGGTGGGGTGGGGAGGGGCAGAGGTGGCGTGAGATTGGCAGAACATTGCTCACAAACCATGCTACTAATCTACAAGTAATCCACAGATTACTTTGCACAGCAGACAAATTATGGTGACTACATCATCAAGTTCAAACTTGGGTGGACAAGATAACCACTGAAGATCCACCCTCACAGAGGGAACTTCCCCATCACCTGCAACATTTAAGGAGAGGTTGTTCATGCTTCCGACTATGAGTCACACCATGATGAAATGTTGAGTGCAAAATATGAATCAGAACAGAATCACAAGCCCTCACAAGTATCCACAGACCGACTTGAACAGGACTGTATCTGTAAGGCAGCTTCCTCTGAAACTTTGGTTTCATGCCGTGACTCACCAGCTTTCCTACACTTCTAAGGCATCCCCAGTTTAGGTCAGGGACTCTCTCTCTCTCTTGCAAACACACCCCATAGCAAAACACTACATAGTCTTTCTTATGTTACAAGTGCAAGAAAAACTGTGCCCCTTCTTTTAAAAAATGTAAGGGATAGTTCTTTGTATTACAGGGAAGAAAGAAAAATAACACAATTTGGAGATGCTAGTGAATGAAGCAGGTGTCTGTATGACTCCGGGGCAGTCTGGAACGATTGTTAGTAGAGACTGTTCCACATGCAGCACTACTTGGGTTTGTATTGTTTGCGGAGCCTGGAAAAACTGACTAAGGGTGTGTGAACATCATCCTCATCACCATCATCATCATCTTTTCCAAGCTCTAGTAATTTTGATGAGGGGATTCTGTGGGTTTATCCAATCTCTTTGTAGTTGCTGCTTTATTTATTTAGTTTTAAACCCAAAACAACCCAATCCGGAGGTTGCACATGGGAAGCAAAGCTGGGGCTTCTTTGCAGGACTGGTGATTCTAGGCAGGTCAACTGGGTGCACACATGTGCCCACCCGCCAAGGCCATGCGCCCAGCTGCAGGTACTGCCAGAGAGGAATGCTGCCCTCTCACCTACAATTCCAAACAGTTGGTGAACTTGGGGCTGTATCTCTACTATTGCCTGCCTTCAGTGGGAATAATTTCACCATCTTCAAGCTTCAGTAGGTATCTCATTCGAAAAGCTATAGGGAAGGTCAGGAGACCACCTTCCAGGGAATGAATGGATTCACAGCTCCCACTGATGCCATGCCAGTCACTCAC